ATAGTGTTGAGTAAAGAGAAATACAAGAGTCATGTTGGTCTATGGAATCTGACAGTCATAGGAAGTCTGGGAGCGCCTTCTCCAACTAACACAATCTCTTGGTGGGAGAAGGGAGGATACAGCACTCTTCCAATAACTGAAAGATGTTACCGAGAAGCTTGAGATTTGTTCACTGTTTCTCCTAGAGTGTCAGACATGGAAAAAAAATGAGCTCAGTCACAAGAGAAGAGATTGTGGCTGAATGAAATAAAAAAGCATTCTAAAAGGAGAAGCAGTTTTAGGGCTGAGCCAGGGAATCAGAGAAGTTCTGTTTCCACTTCACCTATTGTCTTAATTCAATTACTGAGCAGCCATCAGTCAGAAAAGCTTCAACTGGAATTCCTACAGAGAGGAGGCTCAGGCTAAATGGTCTCATTTAGGTGCCATTCAGATTTATGAATGTAGGACTTCCAGTTTTGCGCCCGCAGCACATGGCCATGTGAGAGCAGACCTCTGCTCCCCATAGCTAGTTTCTTCGTGCTTGGGGGACCCTAGATGGGTCTGAAGCTGCCCCAGAGAGATGACCATGAAGGAGGGGCACCCCCATTGATCATGAAGTGACAGTAATTGCTTTGTTTGATCTGGGGAAAGCCCTCCGAACCCGACAGGAGAAAGGCTAGTGTGAGATCAGTGTCTAGCCCAAGCTGCTTGCAGCCGAAGTCCCAGAGCACGAACCTAAACATTGGTGAATAGTGTGCTTGGAATTGGTGAGAGTACCGATCTTCTATCTACTATCTAAATTCTTGAACAGATCTCCAAAGCAAGAAAAGCTCCAGAAATGGAGGGGACTATATCCCCATTCCCTTACAGATGGAAGCGGCAAATTAATATTAAAGGAGGGAAGAAATATATTAAAATTTGATTTAAAATACTTCAGTCTGGACAAATTTAGGAACTAAAAAACTGTCAAGATTATACCCTAATTTTTCTGTTTCAAAACTTCTATTAGTTTCAGGCACCAGTTACCACTACCACTCTGATATAACAAGTCTTTATAAGATGGCGCCTCCGTCACCACAAATCTAGGTATAGTTAAAAAAATATGTGATGGTATCACCCAAGTTGGAAGTTTAACATCAAACTTAAAAAAATACTTTTGCCAAACTCTTAACAATGCAGCCCTTATTATATGATTTCTAAAAGTTTTATCAATCTTTTTCTGCATGAAAAGGTAGGCATGCCACCCAAAGTACAAGTCCCATCCTTCAACATTCAATATCCTTTTGTTAGACNCAAACAACTCTCCAAGCTTAGAGTTCAATAATAATTTTTGATCTTTAGCCACAATATGAGTCTCTTGTAGACATGTAATGTCATTATTAAAATGTCTTAGGTAATGAAAAACCTTACGTCTTTTGTGAGGAACATTGAGTCCCCCCACATTCCAAGATATAAGCTTACACATTAGGAGGTTTCAATCCACTGACAATACTTTCTGCATAGGACTTGACAAAAACCTTAGGTCGAGCGCCACCTACTGGCTCCGAAATAGCAGGTGTCGGACAATCAGCTGTAGGGCTATCAGCTGGAGGGCGGGCTGTCATCTGCCTTTCTTTCTCCTTGCGTCTATGGGCTGCACGAGTCACTCTTTGTTCCTTCCCATTATCTTTTAAACTCCCTTCCTGAACGGAAGCAGAAGGGAGGTCCACAATCAATTGCTCAGCTACGTCGCTCTTTTGTGATATGGGCGGGCATTCTGCTTGCAAAACGGACGCCATAAAATCCTTAGCTTTCTTGATCGAATTAATTCTGTAGCGCTTGCCAGCCAGTGTTACAACTATGCCCACAGGTATATCCCATCTGAAAATTATTTGTCTATTCTTAAGCTCCTGTGTCAAAAAAGCATAGTCCCGGCGCGCTCTAAGTATTTTCGCTGGAATTTCTTTCAAGAGAATAATGTCTTGGTTTAAGATCTTAAATCTTTGTTGATAAAAAAGCTGCATTATTTCATTTCGTCTCGACTTTCTTGTAAAATAAACCACTATGTCCCTTGGCAAATTCTTTTGGCGAGCAATCCACGAGTTGACCCTAAAAACACGTTCTAATTCCAAATAAATTTCCTGGCCGCAAGACAAAACATCCATAAGTACATCTGAAATTACTTGTCTCAAATTCTCCTTTGGATCCTCAGCCAGCCCCCGGATCCGAATTGCAAACTCCATATCACGAAATTGGGCAATTAACACATCAGACTTAACATTTTCCAGACTCTCCTCTACAAGTTCAAGCCTATGGTCACTTACTTCTGCTCTTTGTTCATTCTCTTCAACCCTTTCCGCCACCGCATCTACGTATTTAGCCAAATCTTGAAAAGCAGTTGCCACATTCAAACAGAAATCCTCGTGCTTCTGTGATAAATCCTGTTGTTGCTGTAATACTTGATCAAATCTGNTGATAGCTCAAAATTGGAAGAGTAAAATTTTACCTACAATGGAAGATTGGAGATTGAAAGTTTCGCACCTTGCTGAAATGGCAAAGATTTCAGCTTATTTGAAGAATCACTCAAATGAACAATTTTTATCTATATGGAGAAGATGGATTGTTTATATTCAAAAGAAGCATAGAATAGTGGAATATAATTTAGGTTTTTAGAAAATTCTTTCTTTTTTTTTTAATATACTTTACTTACTCATGTAGAATAATATAATTTAGGTTTTTAATTAATTGGTTTTTTTCCCCTTTTTTTATATATATATTTCACTTATTTATGTAAAATTTACATATCTTGTGGAGTTAGAGATATTAATAATTGTTTACTTATATTTGAATACTATCCTGGGATTAGGTTTGGGAAGTCTCGGGGGGTGGGTGGGTGGGGGATGTGGGTGTTTTTTATATTATATTGTGTTATATTTGTGATGTTTTTTTTATGATGAAAATAATAAAAAATTCTTATTGAAAAAAAAAAGATTATACCCTAATTTTTTTTGATGGAATTATAAAAATATATAACAAAAATAACTTTTTGATTGAAAGAAAAACTGAAAAAAGAAATAACTGCTGACATCTAGTGGAGACTCAGAGAATAGAATACTAACAATAAGGACTCAGAAATTGGCAGAGTGCCTAGAAACAAAGAAAAAGTTGTTCCTTTGAATTGCAAATAACCTTGAAGACAGCTGGGAACAAAGGAAGAGCCAGCTATAAGATTAAAAAGTGTTTGAAAAAAAAACACCAGGACAAGAGATTTGACTCGCCCTACCAGATGGACTATTATGTGAATAAACATTTGTTTGAATGTGGCTAAAAGAACAGAGAATTTTGAACACAAAGGGGCCTTATAACAAGAAGAATAAGAGATTTAAGTAATATCGTATGTTTTATAATATATGAAATGTTAAATAGTAGGTTGATGTAACTTTTATTAATATATAAATGAAATATAAACTGATTGGAAAGGATGTTATATCTAGATATTATAAGATAGATAAAAAGTATAGTATTTTTATAATGCATGATATAAAATATTGGGAGGATGCACCTAAATGGGAAAATTTTGACAGGTAGATGACTATTATGAAAAAATTATGACTGATAAGAATTGAATTGAATATAAGGGAATTTAAGCGAACAAAAATTATAAAAATAGGATGTATGCTGAACTAATGAGATGATGGTTATGAGAATAATATAAACTGAAAAAAATGTTATATAGAGAGATTATTATTATTAGTATAAATATAAAAAATGCCTATATCTAATCATTTATACATTGAAAATATTAAGAATTATATTTTGGCTAAGGTTGAAAAGGAGAATACAAATGGGAGAACAGAAGATCAAAGAAATGTATCATTAATTAATATATTAATTATGGAATGATCAACTTTAATTATTATTGATCGTTAATTAATTATCATTGTCCTTTTTTTCTTGTAATAATAATAATAATAATAATAATAATAATAATAATAATAATAATAGTAGTAGTAGTAGTAGTAGTAGTAGTAGTAAAGTTGGAAGGGACCTTGGAGGTCATCTAGTCCAACCCCCTGCTCAGGCAGGAAACCCTATATCATATAAACCCTATATCATATAAACTGAAAACAATGTTATATACTAATACTAATACTAATACTAATACTAATACTAATACTAATACTAATACTACTACTACTACTACTACTACTACTACTACTACTACTAATAATAATAATAATAATAATAATAGTAAAGTTGGAAGGGACCTTGGAGGTCATCTAGTCCAACACCCTGCTCAGGCAGGAAACCCTATATCATCTCGGACAAATGGCTGTCCAGTCTCTTCTTAAAAACTGCCAGTGTTGAAGCATTCACCACTTCTGGAGGCAGGTTGTTCCACTGGTTAATTGTTCTAACTGTCAGGAAGTTTCTCCTTAGTTCAAGGTTGCTCCTCTCCTTGCTTAGTTTCCACCTGTTGCTTCTTGTCCTGCTTTCAGGCGCTTTGGAGAATAGCTTGACTCCCTCTTCTTTGTGGCAGCCCCTGAGATATTGGAACACTGCTATGTAGAGATTATTATTATTTGTATAAATATAGAAAATGCCTATATCTAATCATTTATACATTGAAAATATTAAGAATTATATTTTGGCTAAGGTTGAAGAAGGAGAATACAAATGGGAGAAGAGAAGATCAAGGAAATGTATCATTAATTAATATATTAATTATGGAATGATCAAATTTAATTATCATTGTCCTTTTTTTTCTTGTTAAAATATAAACCAAGACAACACGCTGTATACCAGGCACTGGAGATTGTTATAGTTAAAAACTAATAAAATATCTATAAAAAGATTTATGAATGTAGAAGTCTGTGATGCTAATCACAAACTTATACATACAGGAATTTATTTAAAACGCACAAATCTTTTTCTAAAATTACTAGTGTTTAATATAAAAATGTATCTGTCATGGTGCCATTTGTAACTTTATGCCCTGAGCAATTAGATTAGCCAAATCTGATGTTCTTTTGTAGCACAAGTAGGTTGAAAAGATGATCCTCCTTCTCTGTTGGATTCCACCTATAAGGGAACTAAATTTGATGGATCCATATTGGGACCCCATACCTGCCATGGATGCAGCCTTGGTGCTCCTGATCTTTCTTCTCCCCCTTTTCTTCTCCTCTTGGATCTGGAGGAATATGCAGCCTTTAAGGCATGGGCTAGAGTCTTTATGACACTATAAAAATGGTGGTAAGTGGTGATCTTGATCATGTTCCTTTTCTGTTGGATCTTCAGTGGTGCTTTCTGGGTGCATCTTCTCCGGCCTTTGACAGAGA